GGTGGGAGAACAAACTGGGGGGGACAGAGACATCAACACGATGGTAATGGTAAGCGAATAAGATAAAAATACCACTCATAAGGTAACATAGGCTGAGAATCATAACAAACCGCATTGAGCATAAAGAAATCTACAGATTGATTGCTAGACATAGAATCACATCCGATATGCCGGGCTACTCCTGAGCAAACCATTATCCCGGTACTCAATGCGTCATAAATGAGAAAATGAGGAGCAAAAATGAAAAATAACAAAACAGTACCAGGACCGTAGGCCGTGGAGTCAGGGAGAGTCTAGAGCTGGGAGCCCGTAGTCTAGTGAGGATGACAGAAAGACCGCAACTGGCGGGACATGAAGAAGGGTCAAAACGGCTGCATTGAAGGAACAGAAAATAAAAAAATAAAATCAAAACTTGGATTCTCAGGAGCCATTGAGATGGGCATCAGACGTACACAGCCTCTCAAGGCACGCCAAGTCACTGGGCGTCTGCCGCGGAGGGACGAGCTGCAGATTGTCGCCTAGAGGCGCGACGCTGCTTAGGGGGTGACTGGTGCCATTGAGAGGTAGGAAGCGGGGTCCATCGAGGAGGAGGGTCGGCCCAGCCGGGCAGGTCAGGTGGCGGGATGTCCAGTTTTCCGCAGAAATCCTTGAGGTCTTCTGGGAAGAGGAGGACAGCAGAGCGACCCAGTTGAAGAAGGGGTTTCAGAGCCCGGCGTCTGGACAGGGTCTCAACCGCGAGATCGGGAAAAATGCGCAGGCTGGCCCCATCCAAGTCTACTTCAGCGAGATCTCTCAGGCGTTCGGTCACTAACGCCTTTTCTGTGTAATAGTGAAGCGAACAATTACATCCCTGGGTTGCTCACCTGCTCCTGATTTGGGGCGAAGAGCTCTGTGTGCCTGGTCAAACGGCATGGGTGAGGTAGGTGGGCGTCCCAGGATGCCGTTGAAAATGCCGCGAAGTGTATCTCCCAGGTCCGCATCTCTTGTGGCTTTGGGTAGGCCTCTCACTCGTAGATTGTTGCGGCGGTTCCGGTTTTCTTGGTCCTCCAGCTTGTACAGCGTAGAGTGCATAGCCAGGTCCGCGGTTATACTGCATGCCCGTAGTTCTTGGATAGCTTGAGCATGGGCGTCCAGTCTGTTTTCGACCTCCTCGACCCGGGTCAGAACGTGTGTCACCTCAGCCTTTACTGATGATATTTCGGATTTTAATGAATTTTCGAGGCGCTCGAACATCGTGGCCAGGTCCGACTTACTGGGCAGGGTCCGAGCCAGGGTTGCCACGGACATCTCTGATCCCTGGTCCGAGTCTTGGGATGCAGAGGAGAAGGCTGGCGACGGAGAGCGATCCGGTGGCTGGGCTCCTGTTGGTGGCAGGCCCGAGCCCGAGTCGCGGCCTCTGGAGGGGCGTCTCGCCATGCGGTTCGGAGGGGAGGCCGTTTGAGACCACAAGCGCTTGATGGTGCCGCGGCTGGGTTGTTTGCCCGAGTCTTTCTGGCGTGGGGTCCTGCCCATAGTTGTGAGGTGTAGATGGCGAGGAACTGGAGCCGCAGTGTGGGTCAAATGAGTGGTGGTAAAGCAGGATTTACACGGGGTGGTAGATGGAGCTCAGCTCAGACATGTCCGCTCGGCAGCATGCGCAAACCACGCCCACTGCAGTTAGGATTAAAATGCAACTCTTTGTTCATGTGCCATATGTAAGAAACAAAGCATGGGTATTGTGAGGCACTGGCTGGCAGGATTGTGGACGGTGTAACCTAGGTTTTTCACATACACATCGAGAGGGCTCCAGGGTTTGTGACTGATATAGAGAAAACAACATTTTTGTTTTCTCAGAATCTTAATACGTTCTATTCTGGATCATAGAGCCAACGTTTTGCAGAGCTTTGGCTAGCAATAGAACTCCATTCCTAGGTCCACAACTGCATCCTGGTAGCAGGAAAATGCGGTCTGGGGATATAGTTGAAGCAGAGCCTGACCTGCCATTATGGAAGAAAAAGCTGTCAGCTTAAAATCTGAAGCTTACAGCTTTTTCTCCATTTAGACCAGCTTCTAATAGGTTACACAGCAGGGTAAGCCTCCCCCACTGTGCAACCTGTCTTGGACCGTGCGCTGCCTGTTAAGTCAGTCAGTTGCACCCCCCCCCGACTGAGCACTGCGGGAGGAGAGCGCTGTGAGCGGCCCGCATCTCTCCTCACACACCGCCCAGCCTCCTATCACAGTCCGGCAAAGCGATGTGTGGGCAGAGACAGCCAGTGCTGTCACAGCAGGCTAAGCTCCTCTCGCTCAGCCTGCTGTGACAGTGTGTCAGGAAGGAGACGAGTGCAAACACTCAGCAATCAGTTACATAGTATTTGAGGTTGAATAAAGACATTAGTCCATCAAGTCCAACCTATTAGGATCTCATTCTAGGAGTACCTGTACCCCTGTATATTACGGTCCCTTAAGAAATCGTCCAAAAGTTTCTTGAACAATTCCACATTATTTGCTGAAATCACCGCCTGTGGCAGTGAGTTCCAGACCCTAACTGATCTTACTGTGAAGAACCCCCTTCGCACCTTGTGCTGGAATTTTTTTTCCACCAATTTTAGGTTATGGCCTCTAGTTTTTGTAACGGAGTTAATTTTAAACAGTTTATCGCTAATGTTGCTACCACCATTAAACATTTTGTACATGGAAATCATATCCCCCCTTAATCTCCTCACCTCTAATGTGAACATGTTTAAATTTAGTAGCCTCGTCTCGTAGCTCTGGTCCTCCATACCCCTAATTAGTTTGGTTGCCCTTCGCTGGACTTTTTCCAACTCAAGGACATCTTTTCTTAGTACTGGTGACCAGAACTGGACCGCGTACTCCAGATGAGGTCGAACCAATGATCTATAAAGTGGCAAAATTATAGACTTGTCCCTGCAATACATCCCCTTTTTATTTCAATTGTTTAAACGCCAATTTTTTAACGCCACTTAGCTCCCAGGCACTTTGTTCCCAAGCCCTGTGTGAGCAAGCTCAAAATGAGTGATGCACAGTGATCGCTGAGTGTTTGTAAATAATTGAGGATGGTTACTGTATCCTCAATTATGAATGAATGGGAAGTGATCTACATCACCTCCTGTCCTCATGTTATGAATGAATAGGAACACTCATAGAGGATTCCCGTTCATTGATAAAAGGGGCTGCAGAAAAAGACATTGAGGACTATTTTAAAAGGGAAATATCAGGGGTCTGTTTAGACGCCTAATATTTCCCCAAAGCCCCTTAAAGTAAAATAAAATAAACATATTTAATAAAAAATGAATAAATCAATAAAAATTTATATAAAAAAATTTAAATGTTTAAAAAAATATATAAAAAAAAAATATTTTTTAAAAATTGAAAAAGTTAAAATTAAAAAAAATTCGGTTTCGGCCTGACATTTTTTTAATTTCTGTTTTGATTATTTTGTTTATATAGAGTGCCATAGATACTTGTCATTGAAGTCTCCGTACCATGGGCACTTAGAGGGGACTGATGGCCAGCCTCCTTCCCACTGACTACAGGCCTGGATTAAGGTTTTTAATTGTTGGGGTGGCTAGTACTGTTTCTTATCTTGGACCTAACATTTGGACTCATCTATGGAACTCCTGTATGGGCTTATTTAGCACTATATGGATCGTGGACTAGAAGGACTTATTAACAATCTTATAGATCTCTTGATCAAACACTTTGTGACATGTCCCACTGGTGCCAATCAGTCTGGACTGATTCCTATACACAATAGGCTCCCTGCAGAGATAAATACATCCTCCTCCCTGAACAACCTGCTGATGTAATCAGCCTGCTAGTCCCTTTATCACCAATCCCATTCCTGTTACCCTTTTTCCCCATGTTAGTTTGGACTGATTTTCAGGAATGTTAATTTTGTTAAAATAATGTAATCTTACCTGGGGGAGGTGGGCTGTGTGGGCTATAAAATGTGCTGTTTGTTCAATAAAGGTTTTCCCGCTTCTGCTATAATCAACTCTGGCAGTTTGTTCCAGGGCACAGGGACCTAGCTCTGACGGCGTATCCAGTGGGTGGGCATATAGTGCTAAATAAGCCCGTATGGGAGTTCCATAGATGAGTTCAGATGTTAGCTCCGGGATAAGATACAGTACTAGTCCCACCAGCTATTTAAAACATTAATCCAGTACAGGATCCATTGTCTGTGGGAAGGAGGCTGGCCTTCAGTCCCCTGTGCCCAGAGCATTGAGACTTCCATGACAATACTCATTAGAAATGTGTCTCATGGTAGTGCCATAAATGGCAACAATAGATTCATGTACATTTTAGTGAATCTGTCACAGCTTTGTCTGAGAAAAAAATTTTCACAAAATTGTCTCAAAGATATGACACAATTCTTACTTGTAAGATCATGGCCGCTATGGGGCCCGTGGCACAGGGGGGCCCGGCCAGGACATCCCCCTGATGGCGTCCGTGCGTCTGGGTCGCTATGGCATCTCAGGCTGCTGGCTGTCACTGGCGGCTGCTGAGTCGGTGACAACCAGCAGCTTCAGAGGAGGTGGCCGGGCCCGTCGTCGGCAGCGATGGAGGAAGCGTAGCCCTGCGATCGAGGAGGTGGGACTTGACGATGGGGAGGTAGGGCCCGGCGATCGAGGAGATAGGGCCCAGGGATTGAGGAGGCGGGGCCCACAAGCGATCATGGAGGAGAAGGAGGCGGACAGAGGATTGGAGCAGACAGGTAAGAGGGCTTGACCGCCCACCTGAGACCCTGCAGAGCCCACCATAGCGAGTCACCTTTAGGTGGGCTGTTTGGGTTATCAGGTGGGCTTAACTAGAAATCACAGGGCCCTATACAAAATCTTGCTATGGGGCCCTGTGATTTCGAGTTACGCCCCTGGATCATGGGAATTTTTTTTTAAACACAATCTCTTTAATGTAGCAGCAGTATTTCTTTAATAGCATTGGCAATTCACTGAATGAATTTTGTTGTCCGTTAAATGAAAGTCTTTTCTTCTATTTGGCAGGTTCTGTGCAGTGGAGCCGTCCTGAGAATGAGCCCTAAGGCTGAGAGAGTGCAAGGAATGCATCAGTTGAATGAAGCCATCTTAAGAGACGCTCGCATATTTTTAAGTGTCCTACCTCTTGCTGACGGACTGATGTTATGTTTTAAAATTTGATCCAAAGTTTATTTTTTATCACCTCAAACTAGGTGCTATATATGCCAGCTACCTACTGTGTTATAACAAGCTTCCACGGTGACAAGTGCAGGGAGAAGAATTGAGCTGAGAAATCAGCGTTTCATGATTGCTCAGTTCTCTATCTATAGAGCTAGCATGTGACATCTGCTGTGTCACACACCGACTCGGAAAAGTACATTTTAATGTGCCAATACTTCTTTATGTTTCTAAACCAAGCTAAACCCAAGAACAAAATGTTATATGATGCATCTTACCAGCCCCTTCCAAGTGTGGTTGCTGTATTATTTTGCATTTGATCCATTGATCTTGCCAGAAATGCTGTTACCTTGTTTCTTTCTGTGAGACAAGACTCGTGTAAACTATTAATCCAATTTTATCACCATATAATGGAGATGTACAAAGGCAGACATGGATAACATGAGTCTGGGTAACATGCATGGCTCTTCATAATACAGTAGAGTATGTGAAACCAGCCAGGGATAGGAAGTGTGTTTATTATTAATAGAATTCCCAGGTGAAAATAAAGGGGGAAATAAGTGATAATGAAGGTGAAAAGGAAGGGGGAAAATGTGACAAAAAGACAACTAACATCTAAGGACTGGTAAGCTGCAATATATAAAATTTTTGTTTTTGAGTTTTCTCGAGTATAAGCCGAGGGGGGCACTTTTCAGCCAAAAAAATGGGCTGAAAATCTCGGCTTATACTCGAGTATATACGGTACTTTAAGTCTGCCTTAATACATACACAGATAAGAGATGGAACAATTATGAATAATCATTGCTGCTATTACCTAATTGATATGACCGAATACAATTAAAACAGGCCTTCATTCAGATCAGAAAATTCCTTATTTATAATTCCACGAAGATCCTGACAGTTGTAACTTGCATGCTTCATCTGCACCTCTTGTACGGCAGGGTGCAAAATAGGTTTTGGTTGCCCTGACCATACTTGCATCTTACACCTTCTGCTTCAAGGAGACCCTGTGGATCAAATGAATGCTGATTCTAAGCAAGTCGAATTTGCGTTTTCTAAGTATTTCTGTGCTCTTGAATTACGCAGAAATGCATTTTATTTATTGGAAGACTATTATTATGAAATAAAAAGAGACATCCGATTTTTTAAAAATAAAATAAATGCTTTTAAAACCAAATTGAATAACTCGTTTTCCTTATTTTTTCTTTTTTCACACTGCAGTATTTCTTAATCAATTTCATTTCTAACATTTCTCACCTTTTTGGTCACTTGACAAGCAATGCTCTTCAATAGTGGTCTCTCAAATGCAGCCCTTTGCTTGCATTTATCTGACCCATAAGGCAGTATTTCATCCAACAGTATTGACACCAACAACTGGACACTGTACCTTCCACTAACATCAACAATAAGGAACTATTTCTCCCACTGATGCCAACAATGGGGCATAATTTCTCCCACTGACAGGGCACTATTTCTCCCACTGACTCCAGCATTAGGGCACAACAATAGGGAACTATTTCTTCCCTTTGATACCAACAATGGGACAATATTGCTTCCACTGATACCAACAATGGATCACTGGCCACAGGCAATAATTCATTTTTCACTCCCACTGAGCCTGTTGCATTGTTTCACTTTTGGGATCCCTGCTTTAGAACAGCCATTCTAAATCAGGGTTCCTCCAGAGGCTCTTAGGGGTTCCTTGAGCAGTGGCAGATTGATCTAAACTGATCACATCTGTAAGGAGGGTGTGATTCTACACTGACCAACTTTGTCCACTAATGTAAAGGGATATTACAGTTTTCACTGTCTGGGAGAGAGAGAGACACAGAGGGGGGAGAGACAGAGAATGGTTAAAAATGCTCTCTGGATGCCAACTAGGCTCTACACCACATTTCTTATCCTTTTATTTATTATTCTATCTACAACTTACTTGTCAGGTAATGTACCATCAGATATACATATAATCATTTTTAATTTTCTATAGAAACTTCTGCTCTTGATTACTCTAGAAAACTGGACATTCCTCCTTACAGCTGCTCACTTAAATTGGCGGCATGAGTCTGCATTAACATGATTCAAATATGTGAAGCGGCGCTGTCACGCAACAAAGTAAACAGATAATATGTGCAAAAACCAAATAAAACAGTGAAGAATGCTTCTGTGAATTAAATATTCCAATTCAATCTTCTGATCAACTGCTTGTGTGAATCAAAGGTAATTTTCTTTGAAAAAAATCTCAAAAGTGACTAATAAAGTAGCAAACGTCCTGCGTCAGTGTGTTAAACACATAATAGAAACAGTGTCCATGAAATCGTTACATGCAAAGACAACTCTCTCAAGTCTTAATGTATGAAATAAAACAGAGACTGTCCACTCTTGTGATTTCTTGTGTATAATCTTTAAACCAGTTTTGCATAAAAAATTAAATAACTGATAAAGATGAAAATGTTAATCCTTTAGTGCAGTGCTCCGATATATAACCTGCTCAGACCCTTGGGTCTCAAAACACTTCTTGTAGAATTAACCTCCTTCCTCACAATATTTGAAGCCGTGATCCTCCTCCCTTCAGATGAAACCGATCCTGATCTTATCGCTTTCTGCTCTACCGACAGCCCATCTTCATCTCAAAAAAAATCTCTCAAAGATAGAAGTGGAAATCATAGCACATACCGTAAACCCTAAACATAGCACATACCGTAAACAAAAATATGTTATTAAAAGGATTAAACTCCCATAAAAAAACAATAAAATCCCATAGTCAGACTCTCATTCCTGGATGTCAGGCCTATCCTCCTCTTTCTCCCCAGGCGTTCTGACGTCACTGAATCAGCTTCTACGTGTTACGTCTAATTGACTTCATCAGGAAGCTAGAGTCAGTGGGGGTGATTTACTAACCTAAACACACGCACGCACTAGGTGCGTGTGATTTTTACACAGCAAAACGTATTTATCAACCAAAAAGTCTCTAAAAGCATATTTCCACTAATGCCATATATGGAAGCATCATGCACATGATGCATATATAATGCTGCTTCACAGTTTAGACAAAAATGGTTAGCTCATGCATTTACATTCCTGCATTCATCAACGCAAGCAACACAACGTAGAGCTAATTTACACAACATCACCTTGGAATTCATGCTTGGCTTTGCACAACACACCAGCTGGGTGTGTACACACTACAAAGGTGTCTAGATTCCACCCATAGATCATGCTGGGAGGGAACACACTACAGAGGTGTATACTTGTTCTGACGTGTTTATAAGGTTAGTAAATCAACCCCAGTGAGTCTATCAAGCTCATAAATGCGGTCACTCTGTTAACTGTTATCATAACTACATATTTTATATTATCCTTTAGGATCTTGGTTTACATTTAGAGTAGGTGGTGGTTCTTTTTTTTAATCTAACATATACCTAATTATCATATGTGATTTATATATTACTTTTCATAAAACTATCAATAATAAAACTGGAAAAAATATTTGAAAAATTAGATAATAAAGTAATGAATTGCAACTAACACGTATGTTTCTGCTTTCTTTGCAGTTAAAAGTTATCAGTAAATAAGCAAAGTAGGACCCAAGAAAGCTTCTCAGGCTGATTTACTAAAGTACACATTATTAAATTGTGTGACGATTTACTTCAATTATCCAATCATGTGAAATGAGAATCCGTTTACTTATTTCATCTGCACATGATTGGATAATTTAACTGAATATTGACACAATTTGATTTATGAACAATAGTAAAGCCTTTAGGAAATCAGCCTCAAACTATGCCTGTGCATGCTTCTATTCATTACTTTATATTGATTGAAGGTACAAGTGTAGTTTGCTACCAAGATGGACATTGATCACCCCAATGCTTCCAATTTCAAGCATGCTTTGCAACTATTGGGACATTTCTCATGTATCACTTCCCCCTCCCTTTTAGATTGTGGGCCCTCCTTACCATCTTGTCTTGAATTGTATTGTGATTGTAATGTTTTCCTTATATTGTAAAGCGCTGCGTAAATCCTGTATAATAATAATAATTCTCTAAGCGGATTCATGAACATCTCAGGCATTGGGAGATACTAGATATTACACAGGTATTCAGTGTGTTGGAAGATTTTCCATCCAATGGTCCTGATCCTTTTTTAATGCAGAAAGTGTAGTCATGGTAGTGATATGAGCTGGAGAGGATGTGTTTGGGTGGAGGCCGTATATAGGATTTACAAACTTCCTAAAAGCCATTGATTATCAATTGCAAGTTCATTTGTCAAGACCAGAGCAAGATTAAGGGGCTTATGAGGGAGGCTAAATTCTGCTTTAACGCAGGTAGAAGACCCTTCAGAAACATGGCATCTATCAATAAGCCGCAAAAGCAGATCAGCATGTTTACCGTATATACTCGAGTATAAGCCGAGTTTTTCAGCCCATTTTTTTGTGGTAAAATTAGGTAACTCGGCTTATATTCGGGACGGGGTATATACGGTACTATAAGACTGGAGGATGCAAAGCATGGGATTCACTGTAACATTATTAAAGTGCAAAACCCCTGGAGGATAGCAATGGGAAAGTATCCAGCCCTTTTTGCTAAAATGGTTTTCAAAGGTTCGATCGCATACGGTTATCGTACGATAATCGTAAGGTGTATGGGCACCTTTAGGTGTATGGGCACCTTAAGACCTGTCACCATTCTATTTTTTTTGAGTGGGCCCATGCAACTGCAAACCAAATGTGGTACCTTGGCACTTTAGTCTTAAAATTTAGGGACAGGGATCCCTGATCCTATCCGAGGCACATAGGATGCCTGGGCTCAGAGTATGGGTATGAATGTGTAGCCTTGTTCCCTGATTTCTCACATGGACATCAGCAAAAACAGAACCTTGAGAAAAGACAGCAAGTATAAAAGGACTAAATATGATATGCTGTACCTTTGGCAGCTACAAATCATAAAATAAAGAAATCTCAGCATCAAATATACAGTGTATATAAAGACAGATATCCCAAGATCACTGTTG